ATGACCGTCTGCTCAACATTCCCATCAATGACATCATCCAGTGAGTCCATCTACCTTGGAACCAAGTAGGCAAGGGAATGTCTGGCCTGGGCGTTGGGAGTAGTGTTATACCAAGTTTGCTTGGTATGGGTTAGCTGTGCAAGTTGTGCCTAGCACAGGGTTACCCAGCTGAGGAGGCAAGAGAGGGCCAAAATCCAGCACACACACTGGCCAAGCTATGGGCTACATTTACCTGGTAAAACGTGTCTTCCTCTAATTTGCACAAAACCACAGTAGAGGCTAGAGGCCTCCAGTGTTGGGCAGTCCCTGCTACACCACTCTCAGAACCTCTCAATAGAGTTCTGAGTTGCATCCCTTTTTCAAGAAAAGCCCACTTCATGAGACTTTGCTCAGCAGCCCAGCACTCCACACCTCACTCCGGGGTCTATCTATCATCCTCTCCTACCTTATTCCCATATGTAAAACAAGCTTACTGGAATCCTCCATCAGACTCAGTGTAAATGGGTCCAGGTTGTCTGGGACAAGCCAGCTCTCCCATCAGATCTGGACAGGAAGAGCCATTCCATGGTGGAAGCTGTAGTTATTGCCCATTCTTGAGGTTAAGGGGCTAGGAGTGGCAGGGGACCCATTGAGGTTCTTCTCTGAGGTGCTCTCTTATCACCCTTCTTCTAATATCCTCCCCTGTCTCAGCCCCAAGTACTTCAAGAAGGTGCCAGGTGAGGGGATGCCATTGCCTGAAGATCCCACCAAGAAGGGGGACCTCTTCATCTTCTTCGACATCCAGTTCCCCACACGCCTCACACCCCAGAAGAAGCAGATGCTGCGCCAGGCATTGCTCACGTAACTATAGTAGGCTAGAGGCTGGAGCAGGGGCGGGAAAAGGCTAGCCAGGCCTTACCCCACATGCTATCTACCCATAGCCTCAAGTGTACAGGGGAGGCAGCCTGCTGCACAGATGTGAAGTTGAGGGTGGGATGGCCCAGGACTTTTAAACTGACATAATAAAGATTTACTTCCAGTCCTCCACCTATACCCAGGAGAGTATGTTGGAGAGAGAGGCACTTCTTACCAGCCCTCCTTGGAGCAGAGAGAAGAACAGGACCCAAGAAGCTGAGGACAGGTGCCCTGTCCTGCCTGTAGCACTGACTTTTGATGAGGGCAAGTCTCCAGGTTTCTGAGCCTTGTATTTGACTGCAAACCAGAGTGCTGACAGTTCAAACTCACCAGCCACTCCTCGGAAGGAAGATTGGGCGATCTACTTCCATAGTGATACTGCCTTGGAAACCCAAGGAGGGGTTGCTATGAGTCGGGTCCAACTCGACGGCAGTGAGTTTGGTTTGGTGCTCCCACTTTGGTAAAGTAAGGCAGGGCTGTGTGGCCTCTGAGGGTCTCCAGTTCTGCTCTTTCATGACACATGATCTTTAGAAGGGGCAGTCTGTAGAGTGTGATATGGGTATATTGTAGAGAACAGAAAACGAAAGCCCAGAGAGAACACTTATTCTAGGTCAGTCACACAGATGTCAGTAGCAAAGCTATCCTTTGAACCCAGACCTCTTCACTCCTGCCAAGGCCACTTCCTGGACTCACCCTGCCTAGAGAGGGAGGCAGTCTGGTGCAGCACAAAGAATACAAATGCTAGAAACAGCTTCGGTTTTTAGTTCTCTGGCCTCAATTCCTTGGTCCACAAGTTGGGTCCTAGGCTGTCTCCAGACTGGTCTGGGAGGCAAGAGACCTGGGTTCTGGATTCAGCCATGCCACTGACTCCTTGGACCAGTCATATCCCCTCTCTAAGCTGGTTTTGTCTGCAAAGCAGAGCTCATAACCCCCACCTTACTGGCTTGTTGTGAGCATTGAGGTCACTGATGTGAAAGTGCTTGGTGAACTTACTACTTAGATTTCAGGAATGGTTACATCATTGCTATTGAAGACCTGGAGTTGCAGCGTCCAGACTGGTGGGCCTATGCAGGCCACACTTGCCTCTCCAGTCTGCTTTCCATCAGTTATCCACGGTGGATTATACACTTCCTCCATGCTAGGGCAAAGAGGAAAGTCCTCTGTATAGGTTCATGCCTATGGATAGAGTAGGTGACCACTTCTATGGAGTGACTTCAGAGTAGCCAGAAAAGGCCTCGATGTTACCTATATTGCTTGGGATTCTACCAGTGATACTAGTTTAATAAGGTTTTTGTTTGAATAGAGGGTCAGTAGCACTAGTCAACCATTTTAAACCATCAGGGAGAAGACAGGAGCAGACCTTGAGGTGTAGAACCTGGAGACCAGCAGGTTTTGGACTCAGGCACACCTGTCTGAATCCCAGCTATGCAACTTACCAGCTATGTGCCTGATAATCATTTCACCTTTCTGTAAATTCCCTACCTACAGCAGGGATTAAGGAACCCTGGTGCACAATGGTTAAACACATGGCTGCTAATCAAAAGGTTGGTGGTTTGAACCTACTCAGGGCTGAGAAAGAAAAGACCTGGTGATCTCCTCCCATAAATATTACAGCTTAGAAAACCCTTTGATAAAGATATGGATTATACTTCAACATAAAGAAAACAAAATCCTCGTAAGTGGACCAATAAGCAACATCATGCTAAGTGGAGAAAAAATTTGAAGTTGTCAAGGATTTCATTTGACTTAGACCCACTAACACCCATGGAAGCAGCAGTTAAGAAATAAAAATGATACACTGCATCGGGCAAAACTGCTGCAAAAAACCTCGATGAAGTGTTCAAAAGCAAAGATGTCACTTTAAGGATTAAGGTGCACCTGCCCCAAGCCACAGTATTTTCAGTTGCCTCAAATGCATGCAAAAGCTAGATTATGAATAAGGAAGACTGGAAAATTGATGCGTTTGAATTATGGTATTGGGAGAGTATTGAATACACCATGGACTGCCAGAGAACGAACAATCAGGTCTCAGAAGAAATACAGCAAGAATGCTCCTTAGAAATGATGGTGAAATTTTGTCTCACGTACTTTGGACATTATCAGAAGGGAGCAGTCCCTAGAGGACATCATACTCGGAAGAGGGTCAGTAAAAGAGGAAGACCCTCAATGAGATGGACACAATGATTCCAACAATGGGCTCAAACACAGCAATGACTGTGAGGATGGCACAGGACCACAGTGTTTCAGTCTGTTGTACAGTGTCAGAGTCGGAACTGACTGAACGGCACCTAACAAGAAAATCCTGCGGAGCAGTACCACTGCCACGTAGGTGTGCCGAGTCTTAGTTGACTGGGTGGCACACATTGCCTGTAGTTCCTTGGTGGAAACTTGATGAATAAAGTTGACTCTGCCCTCTGTGAGGGAGTACCCAGGTGCAGCTACTGAGAGCAGGTCAAGGCTGGACAGCATGGTTCAAGTATAGCCAAGCTCTAAAACTCACAAGTCTGTCTCTTCCAGGGTGGTAGGAAAGCCTGGTGTCCACGCTGATGTAAAGACCTTTATGAGATTGGTTCTTATCACTTTCCTGACCTCCTCACTGTCACAGGGACATGCTCAGAAACAGCTGACACAGTGCTCATTTCCAGGTAGCCTACTTAGCTCCGAACGTGCCAGGGACAACTTATTGCCCATTTCCTCCAGTATAAAATAAACCTTTAGGATTAATATGCGTATATAAGGCACAAAAAACCCAGTCCAAAACCTGGTCTCCAGGCTCTTGACCCCATGTATAGAACTATGTTCCACAGGGTTTTCTATGGCTCATTTTTTAAGTACATTGCCAGACCTTCTGAGGCACCTCCACATGATCTCTAACAGCCAACCTTTTGGTTGGCAGCTGAGCACAGCAACTATTTGCATCACACATGGGATTATAATTCAAACTGACTCAACTGCAACTGGTCCAGTATATAAGGTACAGTGGCTAGGTCCTCCTTTATGGTGACTCCCCACAGCTCAGTGAAAACAGCTTGAATGAGCTGCCTGCCCTGTACCCTGGCTTGGTACCTCACAGCAGCCAACTCTGCCATTCCCAGGGACTGAGGCCTGGACTTATTCTGTCAGAATCAAGGAAGCTGAAGAATCCTGGCCCTCTTGCCCAAGCACTTAAGGGTCTACCCTCCAGCTTTAACCAGTGGGCTAATGAGGGAAGGGAACAGAGGCATCACATGCTTTATAGGCTGTAGGAAGAGATGGAGGAGCCATGCCTTCTGGGCCTTACTCCACAGCTACCAGGCATTTCCAAGGATCCTAGCTTTGCCTCTGGGAAGAGTCCAGGTGCTTTCTGTTCTTGCCTGTCTGACCAGTCTTGGCCCTTGGCTTCTTCACACATCCATAAAATGGGCCTACCAAACTTAACTCTAAGGGTCCAGCCCCATGCAATTATATACCTTGGAATTCTGGGGCCTCAGAACTCCCTCCCTTGAAATAGTAGTCCTGCCCACTTGCTTTCCTGCTTCAGCATAGGTAGGAACAACAGGGACTCCGCCTCAGGGAAAGGTTAAGGCTCCAAATGGAAAGGATCCTCAGGCAGAGGCCAGATGTTTGTTCTTGCCCAGCAGCCTGAACCTAGCCTCAATGAATCAGGGACTACCCTACCCAGCTCATTAACACTTCCTCCTTTGGTTGTGACTGGAGGATGGGAGGCGGCTAGACTTGCGCACTTTTTGGTCTGGGACTTTGGGGTATTGGTTTCCCATTTGTAAAATCGCATAAAATAAGCCCACAACATCTAAGATTTCCAAGACCCCTGAAATCTTCTAAGCTCTAGAGAACCAAGGCAGACAGGGCCACTCTCATTTTGCAGATAAATAATCCTGGAGCCAATAATGGGGGTGAGAGAAAAGTCACTGTTACGTCTCACCCTTCACTTGGCCACTTTAGCCCAGGCTGGACTGAATGCCTTCCATGAGCCCCAAATTGGACAATGGAGGTGGAAGGTGAGTCACACTCCCCTTTCAAGGTCAAGTGGCTCGCTGCCTACCCATCAGGTGCAAAATGGGCCCATTGGACTAAGACTTCTGGTAACATCCACAAAGAGGAGACACCAAGGTTGAGCTTGCTTTATGGGTGACATGCTGGCTGGGCTGGGGGACAGGACAAAAATTCAGGCTGAAAGTTTCAAGGGACTAGGGGCTTGGGATCCTCGTTGATGAGGACAACTCCACCAGGACTGAGAGCCAGTGGGGAGATGAGGTAGAAGGAGTGGTGAGAATGTAGGGCGAGGAAGGGGGGTGGTGGTAAGAGGAAAAGAATGGAGAGAGACAAAGAGGGAAAGGAAGAAGGAAAAGGGAAGCAGGGTCTGGCTGGAGCCAAAGCCAGAGATGTTCAAGTAAGCAGCAGGAGAGACTCAAAAGGGAGCCTCCCGTGAAGTGCAGGCAGCCGTGAGGGCCCGTTTCAGCTGCTCATAGGTGACAAACATCACCACATTCCAGGAACCCAAGCGAAGAAAGGAGGGCATGAACCTAGGGAAGAGAAAACAGGTTACAAGGTGCAACTTGGCAACACCTGCTCACCCCACTGGGCCCTGGCATCCAATCCAACCCAGCTGTTCTGTCCCAAAGGTGTCTGGGAGGGCCCCAGAACTGAGCCTCACAGCTGTGTGGCTATCAGCAAGTATCCTGAGTCTTAATATTTATAAAATAGAGAGGAGCCCTGGTGGCACAACAGTTAAGCACTCACCAAGCTAAGAGAAAAGATCTGAACCCAATCAGCAGCTCCATAGCAAAAAGACTTGGTGATCTGCTCCTGTAAAGACTGTTGTTGTTATGTGCTGTCAAGTTGGACCCAACTCAGCGACCCCTCCTTGGGTTTCTGAGGCAGTATCACTACGGAAGCAGATTGCCCCATCTTTCTTCCAAGGAGTGACTGGTGGGTTTGAACCGCCAGCCTTCTGGTTAGCAGTCAAGTGCCTTAGGCACTACGCTACCAGAGCTCCCAGCCAAGAAAACACTATTGGGCAGTTCTACACTATCACATGAGTTGAAACTGACTCCAGGGTACCTAACAATAATAACAACATAAAATAGGGATGATAGTAACCCTGGGTAAAGGAGGAATAAAGAGGATGAGTGAATGCCTAATACCAGGACCAAGATCTGAAGCCATTTCATATATGGGTGCTACTTAGTTCCACGTGGTTCTCTCCCACCTGTGAGAGATGTAGTAGCTAGGAGGAACTGGGTGGGGTGGATCAGAGGCTCACCCTTTGTAGAAGGCCCGGGGCCCTTCCTTCTGGAGCATGGTAAGGGCACAGTGGCCAGCACTGCTGTACTGGCCCAGGGCAGAGTTCATATATCTCGTCTTCACCACGTCGACAGGGGAAGCAATGATGGTGGTGCAGAAGCCAGCCCCAAAGGCAGAAGTGAAATGGCAAGGGAGGTCATCTGCCGAAGAACAGCAGGCAAGGCAGTCAGCACACCTCACCCCATTATTTCAGAAGGAAAACCAAGGGCCTAGAGAATTAAGTAGCTGGGGCCTCATGGTCTTAGAGGAATAGAGACTTGAGCTAGGACCTCTCAAGGACTTGAAGAAGTCATGCTACCAATCTAGTTTTGGTTCCTCAATCTGTAGAGTGGGATCTTCATCCCAGCTAGCTTTAATAGGGCAGGTTAGAGATAGAAACTCAGTCCAGAAGCAAAAGGGCAACAGGATAAAAACACATGGTCTTCAGGCAACAAGATTCCCCTACCTGCTCCTGAGTTGGGAGAAGGGCAAGACCCAGCACCATCTAACTCACCTGTCATGAGGTTGGCCTTTAGAAGGGCATCTTTGATAAGGTCATAGGTCACCAACTCAGCACAGTTGACAATGGCATTACGGGCAACATTGGGGGAGGTCCCTACAGGAAGGAGAACCAATGTGAGTACAGGGAATGCAGGAAAAGGAAGGTAGGGAAAGGAAACGCCTGATACACACCTTTCCAGAGTCCCCGGAATCCTTCCTTCTGGGCTATGGTCTTATAGGCATCCATAGTGCTTTGGTATCTCCGGCCACCTCCAGCCCGGGCTTGAGCTTGGAACCGGACCTTCACCACATCTGTAGGCTGAGCCACAGCCACAGCCAGGGCACCTGTGGTGCTGCCTGCCAGGAGGCGGCTACCGACACCAGCATCTGTGAGTGAACCATAGGGTCAGTGGTCAGCTGGGTTTGTACTCATTTTCTACCTCATGCCTCCTCAACAAAACCACATTACTGCCTCCTGCCTTTTAGGAGTAGTGTTCAGACAGACTCTTTCTCTAACAACCCCCTGGATCAAACAAAGTATCACTGTGAATGTTGACTACTTGTTAAGCAGGGGGACAAAGCAAGGAATAAAACAAAACCACTTACTCTGCTCAATAGTCCTAAGAAATCAGAACCATTTCCATCTGACAAATGTCCTGAAAATCAAGGCTCAGAGCAGTGGCCTTTCCAAGGTCTGGACTTGGGTTCTCTTCTGAGATATACTTTTTCCTGCCATGTGATCTTAGGGGAAGTTAACCTTTTTCCCCCTAAATTTTCAGTTTCTTTCAGTGTAAAATGGAGGGTTGGCAGTATGGCTTGCTAAGGAGATGAAATGGAAAAGTGTTGGCCTTAAAGGTCCACACCATGTGCCCTTGGTCAAGTAAGTCCCCTTCCTTTTTCAAGTCTATTTCATCTATAACACTGGTTTGATACCACCTGCTCCCATGGTGGTGGTGAGGAATGCCATAGGATGATGCCCATGAGCCTGGCACAGCCCAAGGGCTCAGGAATCATTAGGAGAATCAGGGCCCTTTCCAGGTTCTTAGTTCCTCTGATCCTCCCAGGGATCTTGAGACCTCAAGGAGCTATTCTGCTAAATGAACTAGGATTAATCAACACCAAGGAGAAAAGGCCAAGGAGCATATGGCCCAGCTCCATACTCACGCTCAGAGCCCTTGGTGTAGAACTGCTTGACGGAGTCGTAGAGACCGATACGGACAGAGGCAAAGCTCATCTGACGCTGCAGGCCAGCGACCAGCCCATTGTAGAGGCTGCGGGGGCCCTCAGTGCGCACCATGGTCAGGATAGTGCCCAGCACACCGCGGTACTGAACGCTGGCCGTGGCTTGCACTAGTCCCTTACTTTCTCCTTGGATCTGCAAGGTCAAGATAGGGTGGCTATAGGGACAGGCAGGTTGCCTTCCTCTTGTGTCCTTGAGGAGGGAGCAGACTAAATACCATTAGGACCTCTAGGTGTCATCTCACCTGCAGCCGGACTTTAGCAGTATCCAGGGGGAAGGTGATGAGATCTGCAATGCAGGCAGCTGTGCCAGCCCCCAGGAACTTTACAGTGGCAGTTGGGGGCACATCTGTGGCCTTGAATCCAACCATGATGCTGATTTCCTGCTGCCTCCCAGGAGATGGACAGTTGGAGAAGGGGACACCTTCAATCAGCAACAAGACGAGATAGAGAAACTCTGCCGGAATCTAGGCCAAGAGGAGAGCCCATCAGGAGCAATGCCTCTGGGTCCTCCCCCTCACCCACCCATACCTACCTTCTTGACAGCACCAGCTCCCTAAGGAAGCAGAAGAGCCCCGTAAGGGAAAACAGAAGTGAGATCTGCATATAAGTGGGTCTACAGAGGCAATTCCTGTCTATAAAGTCCATGTTTTACTAAGAGCTCCCTTCCTTCAACTACAAGGAGAGGGCTCAGGGCTGTCCTACTGCTGCCTCACAAAGAACCACTAGCCCAGCCTTCGTCTGCTGGATGTGGTTTCCACTGAGGCTGCCTACATCCCTACTCCTAAAGATCTGTCTGGAGGGCTGCCAGGAGGGAAACAGCTTCAGTCAGACCAAGCCCTGACAGGTACATGCAAGGCCACAGGCTTATTCCCTGTGTTTGCCACCAGGAGAGGTTCCTATGGGTCTAGAAGAAAGAGAACAAACAAAACCACCAAGTCGGTCCCTTCCTAGCCCATCAGTCTGATTCTCTCCCCGAGCCCCTACACAGCTCAGACTCTCTGGTCATTCTTTCAACAAGACTGCTTTGTTGGGTACCAGTTTACCGAAACTCAGGAGTCATAGTATCTAATCTGCTGTTATGTGCCATCTGTCGAGTTGATTCAGACTCATAGAGACCTTATATGACAGGAAAGAACTGCCTCACAGGGTTTCCTAGGCTGTAAACTTTATGGGATCCAGGTCTCTTCTCCCAGGGGGCCATGGCTAGGTTTTAATGGTAGGCTGACGTTTCATTGTATGGCACAAAGGATGGGCAGGTGATTCAAGCTGTGTTCAGGGCTTGCAGAGTATGTTTTGAAAATGCAGAGGAAGGAATGACTAATTACATAAGGAGAGAGGCAGGGAAAAGTGGATGATCAAAAAAGACTTTGTCAATAAGGTAATGTTTAGCTGGGCCCTGAAGGATGCTAAGCAATTCTCGGAGCTGAAAGTATGTAGGTGTGGGACTCACTCTCAGCTGGCCTACTGTGTGACACAGGGAAAGAGCGCCCCCTCTTTGGCCAGGTTCTTGTCCTCCAACATAGGTGATCTTCGTCTTCACCACAAGAGAGGTGGGGATGGGAAGATATAGGTCAGATACTAATAAGGAAGCCAAGAGCTCCATTTTGTTCTCAGAGTTGGAACACCACCCTCCTCTGTTGCCCAGGGAGGAAGTGAACCAAGCACCCAAGTGGGGGAGGGACACTTGCTTCTCTCCTTGAGCTGGTTTCTCTGACTTCATAGGAGCAGCTGCTTTGAGCTCAGTCTGACTGACTGCTTCTATCACTGGGGCACAGGAGGAAAAAAAATTGGCCCTCAGAGAGAGGATGTGGTGGAAGTCAGCAGTGAACACAGAGACTCATGGAAACAAAGAGTTCACCCAGCTTCTTCCTTCTGGGCCTCTCACCCCAGGTGGATGGGGGCAAACAGGGAAATCAAGGGACTACTACATATGTTTCCCTGGAGCCTGGCCCACATGAGGCTCAGTGAAGATTGGTACTCAAATGGCAGAATGGGTTGGTGAAGATGCCCCCACACTCCCCACTCCAGCTCCAAGAAGTTCTATCTGCTGACATCTGCCCTACCCCCACCTACAAGGTGCTCTATACTTTTCCCCAAGGTACCTACCAACTGGGGCACTTCTCACAGCAGCCTTGTGAGGTGGCTGCCCTTACTTCTGTGTTACAGATAAGGAAACACAAACGCCTGATCTACAAGCTCCAAAGCTTATGTTATTTGCTTTGCACTGGCTACTCATTTATTAGGAGCTCTGGCAGTGTAGTGCCTAAGGCACCTGACTGGTAACCAGAAGGCTGGCAGTTCAAACCCACCAGCCACTCCTCAGAAGGAAGATGGGGCAATCTACTTCCTTAGTGATACTGCCTTGGAAACCCAAGGAGGGGTCGCTATGAGTCAGGTCTGACTTGACGGGCACATAACAACAACTCATTTATTTATTGTTTCTCAGCCCCAGGCATAAGCAGGGTCTTTCACAGCTAAGCTCTCTCATGCCAACAGTGTTAAGAAGGTTCAGGTAAGTAGCATCCCTTCTCTGGGCACCAGAGACATGATGACATGAGTGATATGATTCTGCCATGTGTCTGATCTTGAGATGCACTGCAGAGTTTGGTAAGGGCCAGAGAAGAGTAAGGCCTGGCTGCTGCCCACCCCAAAGACAAGTGCACAGAGGCTCTGTTGCCATTTTGAATGCTGCCTCAAGCACAGAACTCACACACAGAGGGAAAACTGTTCCAAGGAGTGGCTGGTGGGTTTGAACCACCAGCCTTCTGGTTAGCAGTCAAGTGCCTTAGGCACTATGCTACCAGAGCTCCTGAGAGAAAACTAATGCCATGTAAAGATACATCTACAAGCAGCCAAGGAACGCCTGGGGCTACAACAAGGAAGGGCAAAGAAGGAATCTCTCCCAAAGCAGATGTCCTGATTTGGATTTCTAGATTCCAAAACTGGGGGAAAATAAATTCCTGTTCTTCCCAGCCATCCACTTTTGGTGTTTTATATTATGGCAACACTAGGTAAGAAAGATACCTGGGTTAGCCAAATGTCAGGCCCTTCTAAGTGGTGCACATGGGAGCAAAGGTCACTTGTGTTAAAGACTCAACTAATAAAAGTAAAACTCAGACCTAGACAGTTAATCATATTTTATAAACCAAAAGAAAAACAAACATGTTGCCAATGAGTTGGTTCTGACTCACAGCAACCCTATAGGACAGGGCAGAACTGCCCCACAAGGTTTCCAACATTGTAATCTTTATGGAAACAGACATTTACATCTTTTATCGGCTTATCTGGTGAGTTCAAGCCACCAACCTTTTGGTTGGCAGCTGAGCGCTTTAACCACTGTGCCACCAGGGCTTCCTATCATATTTTCAGCTGCCAGTTTCAGAGCCCAAAAATGGAAACCTGATTATTAATCTGTTTCAGGTATAGTGAAAAGCTGAACTCAACAATATGTGGGGATAACATTAGGCTTCTGTCCTAGCTGGACCTCCCCTTAGTTTCCTTCTTTGCAAAATGTGGATCACCATCCTTGGCTTGTGAGGTTGGATATAAGGAGGATGTAGGAGACCCCTTTCTTTAGAATGCAATCTTACCCGGCTTTGTAAGGTCTCACACTGAGGCTTCCAAGATCAAGCTTCTCTAAAGACGTCCCATTCTTCAAAGCTGCCAGTGGCTATCATGATCTGATGATCTCTTTGGTTTTCCATAGAAAATGGCTGGGAGACGAAACACCTAATGGTCATACTATGTGTCCTGTGAGTGAGGATAGAAGCAAATTTAGAAAGGATAATTCACCTTAGAGAACCACACCCCAGCAGGGAAAGAGCCACTTGCCCAAGGCACACATGCCCACTCAGTCCTTGCCGTGGAGGTAAAAAGGAGATAGAATCGCAGGGGAGCCTGCTATCAATGGGGAGGAATGAACCCAGGAGTTTTCCCTCCCAGCTCTGCTCTCTTGGTGTCGCGTACACTGGCTCTCTTCCCAGCTTCTGCCATAGTGACACTTAGTATTCTAGATAAGCACGTCCCAAGGCTATCAGCAGACTCTGGTGAGTATATTATGAGGGAGTCATCGTGGGGCAGACATGCTCTGAGAGCCGTCCAGGGTTCCGGCCAGGACTGTGAGGAGGTTGGAGCGGCTGGGAACGGGCGCTGCAGAGCTTGAGTCGAGTAGCTCAAAGCCTCCTTTCGGCAAAAACAGCCGCAGTAAAGATGCTGGGAGCACATGACCTGGAAACGCCAACCCGCGGGCCCACATGCCCCAGACAGGGGATCTTGTGGTCCTTGAGAGAGCGTCGAAGGCCCCCATCCAAGGCAGGACTGGGAATCCTGGCGAGGGTTGGTTGTGCGAAGGCGGAGGCTTCAATTACAGCCAAATGAATTCAAGGGGTAAAGAACAAAGGGGGATAGAAAAGGCATGAGAGAAGACAGAAAAGGCGTGAGAGAAGAGAGAAAGAGAAAAAGAACATAGAACGAAAGAAAAATACGAAGTAGGTTGAGAGAAGGAAAAAGTAAAGAGCACGCGGAGCCGCGCGGCCGGAGTAGCGGGCGTAGAGGCTGGAGGCTTGAGCAAGTTGAGCGGGAAGTAAGGCTGAAGCAGGCCGCAGCCAGGCTCACCAGGCCGCGAAGAGAACACGAGACTGCGGGGGTCTGTCTGTAGGCGGGAGGAGGGCGCGTGGAGGGAGCGCACACCGTTCTCGACCCGTAGATGCTGCGGGTCTCACCTCTGAGCAGTCTGTGGAGTTTGTTCCGCGACTTGGGACTCGGGGGTGGGGCCTGCAAGACAGAGGCGGGTCCTGCGGGGCGGCGGGAACAGAGCCAGGGTGAGGGATTCTCGAGCTGCCGCACTTCCGCAAGGACGGCCACGCCCAGCGTTCTTCACGCGCCTTTTTTCACTCCAACTTCCTTGCGGGCGGATCGCGGCGTTTGCTTCTTTCAGCCCAGAGGGTCATCTCATCACCCCCCTACGCCACACACACACACTCCTCCGGTTTCGCCAACCTCATTGTCAGAATGGCAAGATCAATGCCTGGCGAAAAGCAGAGGCTTACCCAAGGTTACAAATTCCTCTGTTTGCCAGCAAAGGCTCTTTCTGACAGCGGCCCAGAGGCTGGTGTATAAATGCGCTTCCGCCTTTTCTATATTTTTTGGGCCCTGACCCCGAAACTTAAAACTCTGCAAACCACCTCCAATTTGGGGCCTGAGCGCGGGCTCCTGAGAGACAGGGCTTCCTGACCGACTTGGCTGTCGATTGGTTAAAGCCGTAGCATTGCCAGGAAAGACCCAATCCAGGCTGGATCGGAAGGTGCAGTAATCACCAACTGCTTATTGGGTTTGCCTGGGCTTCCTGTTCTCTTCCGCAGACCAGCCTCGCCCTTGGGGTCCCGGGAGACTTAAGGCAGGTACCCCAAGCGTGAAGCGCCGGTCCCAGTTTACAGACGAGTAAGCGAGAAAGCAGAACAGGGCCCTATGCCGGCTATGTGCCCAGCCTTGGGCTGCGAAAGGGAGTTAGTTAGGAGATGAACAGGAATGGGTTCGTCCTAGGTTGCTGACCGTGGTGGGTACTAGACGCATAAACAACCAATTGAGTCTGTGGCCCAGACAAACGCGTACCTTTTGGGAATGGAAGAGTTTCAGTCTCTTCTCCCACCTTGGACTCTGCCCCTACTCTTGTGTCTCTTTGTTTTCAATCCCATCTGCCTCACAGGACTGATTGATTTAAAGATTAGGTGAGGTAGTGAGGAGCCCTGGTAGCTATCGGAAGAAGGATGTGGCAGCCTGTTTCGGTAAAGATTTACAACCCTGGAACCCTATGGGGCAGTTCCACTCTGTCCTATAGGGTCGCTATGAGTCGGAATTCCTCTGGATAGCAATGGGTTTGGTTTTTGAGGTAATGAAACCCGTCTCTGATTACATTGTAAGTCCCTCAAGAGCAGGAACCTATTTCTAATTTTTTTTGGTATTACAATACTCCAAGGGCCCATATATATTAAGGGCTCAATATGTGCTGTTTCTGTGCTATTATTGAAAGTGTCTTGAAGAGTAAAATAGGAAAACAGGGTGGGACATTAATACTTGTTGAGTGAAATTACTTATGTTTTGAGTTCATTGTGGATAATTAACAAACAATTCCTGTGAGGCAGGTCTTCATTTTACAGGTGAGGAAACACAGTCCCAAAGAGGTTAAATCATGTCTCTAATGTCACATAACTAGTAAGTGGTGGCCTGTGACTTAAATCTTGACCAATCTGGTTCCATTTGTGTGCTTTTTATATTTACAAGCTAAAGAAATTGTCAGAACAGCTGGATTGGGACTGGATAATTATAGCAGGAATGGAAAGCACACTGGGCATGTAGTCCTGGCAGAAGCAAAGTGAAAACTGAGAAGTCAAGCCAGAGTATTATCTGTGGCACTCAGGAGACTCCCATCCACAAGCTGGTCCAGCTTCTGTATGTGAGCAGACGTCACGTTCAGCAAATTTGCTAGTAAGATTGATCTTGTCAGTGATCTCTGAAGAGACACGAGATATGTGACAGAACCAAAATCTAGAAATAGAAGTGTCATCCTGTTGTCAAAACAGATCGACACAGGTTTCCAAAACTGTATATTGGTGAGATGTTTGTCTATCTCTAGTAAATTGAAGAGACTTTTAAAAGAAGATGTTTGGATACTTGAAAAATAGCAATCATCAGGACTCAGCATAAATTCCTTAGGAAATCCTGTTAGAATGAATCTTTATTATTATTTGATGAAGCCAGTCAGATCACAGTAATGCTACAAACAATATGTATTTAGTTTATAGCTCATGTAGGACAAAAGTAGAAAACGAAACTTACTGCATTTACCCCAAACACAGCACTAACTGCCACACACACACACAGTTGCCATAGATTCTAACTCATGGTGACCTCATGTGTTTCAGAGTAGGACTGAGCTCAATAGGGTTTTCACTGGCTATAGTCTTTCAAAAGCAGAGTGCTGGGTCTGTCTTCTGAGTCATCTCTGGGTGGATTCAGACTGCCAGCTTTTTGGTTAGTAGCCAAGTGCTTAACCATTTGTGCTACCGAGGAACTCTGCCACAGATAACTTGCTCCAAACTATTAAATTCTATAGATAGACCACAGTATTGAACACATGATTATGTTAACAGTTTTAAGAAAGACAATTCTAGAACAAAACAATTATGAGCAAAAATTTTTAGGTTATAACATTTCTGAATTCTTTGTTTTCTACATATCTTTTTTTGGTCAATTTGGTTACAGTTCTAAATGAGCAAATAATTCCCTTATAGAGGAACCAAAATAAACTATAACATGACACAAACTTTCTAAGGATGGTAACTTGAAAAATCTGAAAAAGTAATTCTGATTACTTCTAATTAGTATTTAAGATGTGAAAAGAACTAATGACTCAAGAAAAACTTTATAATCATTCAGTTTATCTTTAAAATCAGGCTAGCAAAACTGAAGATCCAGATTGCCTAATATTATGTCTCCATAGTAGGTTTATCACCAGAGTTTTGATCTGGAAAATACAGGCTTGATACTTCTAATGTAAAATTACAATTCTTGGTTTGCAAACGTCAAATTCAATTTTATATTATTTGGTACAGTACTAAACAAAAATTGTTAAATCAGGGTAAAAATATACAGTAGCCATAACTCCAAAGTGGAAACATTGTATTTTTTTTCACAAAGATCCTATGAAATAAAAAACCAAAATTGAGTAGCAAAGTCTACATATAAACATTGTTTAAAAATAGGATGTTTGCCAAAAAGTGGAAACAACCTGATGTCTGTTAATCAATGAATGGATAAATAAAATGTGGTGTAGCCGTACAATGGAATGTTATTGGGCAATAGAAAGGAATGAAGTACTGATCCATGCTACAACATGAATGAATCTTGAAAACATGCTGAGCGAAAGAAGCCAGTCATAAAAGACCACATATTATATGATTCCATTTATATAAAATGCCCAGAACAGGCAAATCTTTAGAGAAACCAAGTAGATGAATAATTGCATTGGGCTGAGGGGAACAAGAGGATTGAGGGTAACAACTGAAGGATACAGGATTTTTTGGGGGGAGTGATGAAAATGGTTTAAATTGATTGTGGGGATGATTGCATCACTCTGAATATACTAAAAGCCATCAAACTGTACACTTTAAATGGATAAATTGTATAGTATGTGCATCTTAACAAAACTATTATCAAAAAAGAAAAAGTGCAAACGGTACCATGTTAACATCCTTTCAAGGACTGCTCATTGCACTTTGAATGAATTATCAGTATGTAAAGAAGAATGTTTTCTAATGATTCTCATAGCAATGAATCTTTATAGTCTGAGTTAAGACCTTATAAAACAAGGTTAAATTATATGTATCTATGCTGATTTACAGATCTTCAGCTGATATGCAGTATTTACAGATAGCCACAGGAATTCTTAATGCCTCATCATATCATCTCTCGATGCTAGATGTTTATTATTTTATACTTTTGCTACTTTAGTACCAAAAAGTGTTTTCACTGGAAGAATTAAATCTCTCATCTTCAAAAGTATAAAGCAAACCAAACTAAACTCACTGTCATCAAGTCATTCTGACTTATAGCGACCCCCTTTGGATTTCTGAGGTGGTAAATTTTTATTTACCGCAGAGTGGCTGGTGGGTTTGAACCGCCAACTTTCTGGTTAGCAGTCAAATGCCTTAGGCACTACACCACCAGAGCTCCACAAGTATAGGTTAACAAAA